CGGTCTGTGCAAGCTGAGGATGAGTGGATTGTGGAGGTGAAGGAGGGGCCTCCAGAGACAAGCCCTCCCAGAAAAAGTCTATGCACACTGCTGGGTCGGGTTAGACTTGAGAAGCAACTGAACAATAAACTCTACCAAATTAGACATGTACAAAAGTGTCCAGGTGGCTGTTTGCTGGTTTCTTGCCTCCACATGAGGGTCAGAGTTACACCTGTGCAAAAGTTCTGGGGCTGGCCCGGGAGACAGCCAGATTCTCCCTCTGGGCAGGCGCTGTCCTGGTCACCCAGCAGAGGTGTGCCAAGGCCTGCAGGTGGATTCCCGGGTGCTGTGGCCCGTCAGGCTCCGTGGCTCCTTCAGTGCATTTCTGCATCCTGCCTCTATGTTCGCCCTTTAAAAGTGTTCATACAGGTGTAGGTTCCTGAGAATCTGTGGATCTCCTCGAGGGCAGCCTGGGGAAGTATGCTGGAGAGTGAAAGGGAGGAAGGGAGATGGTCAGCAGGAAGAACGAATGGTCAGGGCATTGGTGACCACAGGAGATAGGGTAGTGGAGGGACTGTCATCATAAGCACTCCCCAAACCCCTCTCTAAGTTACATATCAACTTCCCCCTATAAGCCACCCCTGATCCCTGCATGGTGGATAGGCATTAACCTCTGATGAAAGCAGGGGCCAGCTTGGCACTTAGGCATTTCACTTCCTGAAAAGGCCTTCCAGGTCAAAGGGTTCAGTCAGTCAGAAGCCAGGACCTTTAGATGGATGAAGGCCCAGAGGAACCAAGAGGCCACGGTCACTCAGTGGCACCTGGACAAAGCTCTGAGAGTCTCCGAGTGATGCAGATGGTTAATGCACTCGGCTGCTAACAGAAAGTTTGGAGGTTCGAGTCCATCCAGAGGCACCTTGGAAGAAAGGCCTCCTGGTCTGCTTCTGAAAATCAGCCAATGAAAGCCCTGTGGAGCCCAGTACTGCTCTAACCCACACGGGGTCACCATGAGTTGGAGTGGACTGCTTTTTTTAAAGTTATACTAAGAAGTCCATGACAACTGTGCTTAAGCAACACCTGGAATAGCCCCTTCAGGGTGGGGCTGAGATGGGCAGGGTATGTTGCCCAAAGTCTGGAAAGTTTCAGTGGAATATGATGCTAGGCAAATTCTGGAGGAGGACCACCTCCAAAAAGTCAACACCTGAGGAAGTCTGACTTGGTAAGCTCCACCCAACTCCCAGCAGACCACATTTTAATGAATCCTACTTTGATGCTGCTGTGAATCCTAAACCTTTGGTATTGAGATCCTCTTAATCTAATCCCCATTAGATTAAGCCTCCCAAGGGTTGGGGCTGGGTCTTATAGTCTCTAGGACAGCAGTTCTCAAAGTGGTCCCGGAACCTCTGGGGGTACCTGACACTTTTTCATGAGGTCAAGACTGTCTTTACGATAATACTAAGTAATTATTTGCCATTTTCCCTCTCATTCTCTCACATTTGTACAGTGGTCTTTTCTGGAGGGTGCTTGACACATGATATCACAATGGATTGAAATCAGAAGCAGATATACGAATTCAGCTGTTTTCAAAGTCAGTAAAGAGATTTGTAAAAATGTAAAACAAAGTCACTCTTCTCATTACCTTTGCTTTGGACAATAAAATTATTTTTCATAAAAAAAATATAAAATGCATGTTAAAATCATGGTCTGTCCGTTTGTCATACTGTGTTGGCATGTGTGTTGCTGTGATGCTGGGAACTATGCCACTGGTATTTCAAATACTAGCAGCGTCAGCTATGGTGCACAGGTTTCAGCAGAGCTTCCAGACTAAGGCAGACTACAAAGGAGAACGTGGCAATCTACTTCTAGAGAAACTGGCCAGTGAAAACCTTATGAATAGCAGTAAAACACTGCTTGATATAGTGCCAAAAAATGAGCCCCTCGGGTTGGAAGGCATTCACACTATGACTAAGGAAAAGCTACCTCCTAAACATAGAGTCAACCTTAATGATGTGGATAGAGTAAAGCTTTTGGGACCTTCATTTGAGAAGAAATAGCTATAGACATCCACTAGTAATTGGAATGTGGAATGTATGAAGTATGAATCTAGGAAAATTGGAAGCTGTAAAAATGAAATGGAACACACAAAAAGATAGCTATCCTAGGCATTAGTGAGCTGAAATGGACTGGTATTGGCCTTTCTGAAATGGACAATCATATGGTCTACGATGTCAGGAATGACAAATTGAAGAGGAATGGTGTCACATTTATTGTCAAAAAGAATCTTTCAAGATCTATCCTCAAGTACAACTGTGTCAGAGATAGGATAATATTCATATGCCTGTAAGGAAAACCAGTTAATATGACTATTATTCAAATTTACACACCAACCACTAATGCCAAAGATGAAGAAATTGAAAAATTTTACCAACTTCTGCAGTCTGAAATTTGGTCAAACATGCAATCAAGATGCATTGATAATTACTGGTGATTGGAATACAAAAGTTGGGGGAAAAAAAAGAAGATCAGTAGTTGGAAAATATGGTCTCATGACAGAAATCATGCTGGAGACTTGCATGATTAGATTTTGTATGACCAGTGTTCATTGCAAATACCTTTTTTAAACAACATAAACACCAACTATATATGTGGTCCTTGCCAGATGGAATACACAGGAATCAAATAAAATACATCTATGGAAAGAGATGATGGAGAAGCTCAATATCTTCAGTCAGAACAAGGTCAGGGGCTGACTGTGGAACAGACCATCGATTGTTCATATGAAAGTTCAAGTTGAAGCTGAAGAAAATTAAAACAAGTCCATGAGGGTCAAAGTAAAACCTTGAGTACATACCAAGTGAATTTAGAGAGCATCTGAAGAATAGATTTGACACATTGAACACTAATGACCAGATGAGTGGTGGGATGACAGCAAGGATATCATACATGAAGAAAAAAAGGTCATTAAAAAGACAGGAAAGGAAAAAGAAGCCTAAAATGGATGTTAAAAGAGATTCTGAAACTTGTTCTTGAACAGAGAGTAGCTACAGTAAATGGAAGAAAAAGCTAAACAGAAGATTTTGAAAGCTTGAGAAGAAAAAGTAAACTATTGTGGTAGTCAAGGTTATGTGTCAACTTGGCTGGGCCTGGTTTTGAGTGGCTGGACAGCTGGATGTTATTCCCCATGATGAGATCGGTTATCAACTCCATGGTGCAAGTTGAGCAACTGGAGCAGCTGAGTAGCTTAGCTGCTTAGGGATGACTTAGGGATGTGGTCTGCTTTCAGTATATAAGAAGTCAGGTTTGAGAAAGGCTCTGCCACTTTTTGGCACACTTGGCCCCTGTAGTAGAGTCTTCATTCAGCAGCTGGCCATGCCCTGCTGATCTTGGGACTTTTTCTGGACTTGAACTAGCATCCTATGGTATTGTTTGATAATCTTGGGACTGTGCCTTTTTACTTGATGACCTTGGGTTTGCCAGCCTCAGCAGCCAGCAGCTGCCTGAGTTAAGAAAAGCCTCCGGTGTCAGTGGGCCAGGAGCAAGAGTCAGAGCTGAAGCCCAAGGTTGAGGGCTTTCATCCAACCCCTAGAGCTGGCACTTTGAACTCACACTTCTAGCCTCCTAAACTGTAAGGGAAAAAATCTCTGTTTGTTAAAGGCACCCATTTGCGGTATTTTCTGTTAGAGCAGCACTAGAGAACCAAAGCAACATTATAATGAAACGTGCAAAGACTTGGAATTAGAAAACCAAAAGGGAAGAATAGGTTCGACATTTCTCAAGGTGAAAGAACTGAAGAAATATTCACATCTCACACTGCAATACTGAAGAATTCTAAGATCAAGATACTGAACAACACAGGAAGCATCAAGGTAAGAAGAAAGGAATATACATAGTCACTGTACAAAAAGGAATTGGTCTACGTTAACCATCTCAGGAAGTAGCATATGATGAAGAACGAATAGCATTAAAGGAAGAAGTCCAAGCTCCTGAAGACACTAATGAAAAACAAGGCTCCAGGAATTGACAGAATGCCTTTGAGATGTTTGAACAAATGGATGCAACACTGTAAGCACTCACTCATCTACACCAAGAAATTTGGAAGACAGCTAGCTAGCAAGTGACTTGAAGACATCCACATTGTGTCCATTCCAAAAAAGAAGCTCTGGTGGTGTAGTACCTAAGGCATTTGACTGCTAACCAGAAGGCTGGTGGTTCAAACCCACCAGCCACTCCTTGGAAGGAAGGTTGGGCAATCTACTTCTATAGTGATACTGACTCGGAAACCCAAGGAGCAGTCTCTATGAATCCAATCTGACTCGATGGTAGTGAGTGCATGAATGAGTGAGTGATTCTAAAGAAAGGTGACCCAACAGAATGCAGAAATTATCAAGCAATATCATGGCTATCACATCCAAGATATTTTGCTGAATATCATTCAAAAATCATTGCAGCAGTACATAGACAGGGAAATGACACAAATTCAAGCCGAATTCAGAAAAGTACATGAAACAATGGGTATCATTGTGATATCAGATGGATCTTAGATGAAAGCAGAGAATATCAAAAAGATGCTTACTTGTGTTTCATGGACTATGAAAAGGTATTCGACTGTGTAGATTGTAGCAAATTTTGAATGACATTGTAAAGAATGGGAATCCTCATGAGGAACCTGTATATAGACCAAGAAGCAGTCATTCAAAATAAACAAAGTGATACTGCACACTTTAAAATCAGGAAAGGTATGTGTCAGGTTGTATCCTGTCACCATACTTATTTAATCTCTGTGCTGAGCAAATAATCTGAGAAGTTGGACTATATGCAGAAGAATACAGCATCAGGATTGGAGGAAGACTCATTAACAACCTGCGATATGCAGATAACACAACCTTGCTTGCTGAAAGTGAAGAAGACTTGAAGCTTTCAGTATAGATTACACCTCAACATAAAAAAAAACAAAAATCCTCACAACTGCACCAAGAAGCAACATCACAATAAATGGAGAAAAGATTGAAGTTGTCAGAGATTTCATTTTACTTGGATCCGTAATCAATGCCCATAGAAGCAATAGTCAAGAAATCAAAAGTGTTAAAAAGCAAAGATGTCACTTCGAGGACAAAGGTGGACAGTTAACAAGGAAGATCAAAGAAGAACTGATGTCTTTGAATTATGGTGTTGGCAAAGAATACTGAATGTGTTGTGGATGGCCAGACGAGTGAACAAATCTGTCTTGGAAGAAGTTTAGCCAGAACACTCCTTAGAAGTTGAGGATGGACTTTCCCTCTGCCTGGATCACTCCTCCTGGCTCTTCCTCAGGGAGCCGTCTCCTACTACCCACCCAAAGTGGTTTCGGACCTGTCTCCCTGCTCATTTCCTTGACAATACTGACATCTAGAATGGCCTTGCCTGTTTGTTTCCTTGTTAATGGCTGTGTCTCCCACCAGACTGAGTAGTTTGGACATTTTATCAGAAGGGACCAGTCCTTGGAGAAGAACATCGTGCATGTTGTAAAGTATCCCTCAATGATCTGGATTGACACAGATTTGGCTACAATAATCGGCTCTAACATGGCAACAATTATGAAGATGGCACAGGCCCAGGCAGTGTTTCATTCTGTTGTACATAGATAGGGTCACTATGAGTTGGAATTGACTCAACAGCACCTAATAACATCAGTAACCATTTTATCATGGTTTGTTATTGCTATTTTTAAATGTTTAAATAAATATTTCTTAATATAAACAAATGTATAAATATTTGTAAATTTTTCTCAGCTTTAATTTTTAACATAGTAATTAGTAATTGATGCAAATCACATTTGGGTTCCTCAATAATTTTCAAGAGTGTAAAGAGATCCTGAGACCAAAAAGTTTGAGAACCCCTGCCCTTGAGTAAGGATAGTAAATCCACAGCAGACATGCCTCCACCTCTTATTCTCAAACCCACAGCAGACATGACTAATCAATCATATGTATAGTTGCTGCCCAATTGCCACCTCTTCTCCACCAGTGGCAAATGTCAGCATGAGCTAGACCCGGTACTTTCTCACCAGCCTCATACCTTTTCAAGATAATAAGGGCATGCATGGTCCATGGGAGCAGGAGGAGGGCCTGGTTGAGCTGGACAGCTTCCACTGTCTTCCGGGCAACTGTCTCTGGCTTCAGTGGGGGGAAGAGGTTGGGAAACCTGAAAGCAAGAAGGGACATGGTGGTTTCTGCTAGAGAAGGCTGTGCTTCCACTGAAAGCCTCTATGTGCTAACACGTGTGGGTCACCCGGTTGGAGTCTCCTGTTTGGAACACTTGGCCCACCACCAGACTTGTTAGGAGCCCCCATTCCTGTCATTCCTCCCAGACCTCAGCACCTGTGAGTGGGAGTGCCCAGCCTCAGAGCAGAGCTTCTTGAAAATGGAGGTCTTCCAGCCCACCCACCCTGGGTCCATTCTAAAAGTGCCCCAGAGTGCTCCTTTAAAACCATTCATCAAATTACGTCACTGCCCTGCTCAAGGTTCTCCAGGGGCTCCCAGAGGCTGGGATTCAACCCAGACCCCATCCCTGTGTGATGTCCCCTTCCTACCCTTGCAGCTACTCCTCTTCCCTCCTCCCTGCTCCAGCCATACTAGCCAATCTTTCTGCTCTTGTCACCTTAAGCTCTTTCCTGCCTCAGGAACTTCTAGCAGCGATCCCCTCTGCCTGGATCACTTCTCCTAACTCTTCCTCAGGAAAGACGGTGGGTCACCTCATACTATCCACCCAAAGTGGCTTCTGAGCTCTGTCTCTGCTCATTTCCTTGACCACACTGACATCTAGAATGTCCTTGCCTGTTTGTTTCCTTGTTAGTGGTTTTCTCCCCCACCAGACTATGAGTTTCAAGAGGACCTGGATGGTCTTCTAGTTGTTGTTGTTGTTGTTAGGTGCCGTTGAGTCAGCTCTGATTCATAGTGACCCTATGTACAATAGAATGAAACACTACCTGGTCCTGTGCCAGCCTCACAATCCTTGTTATACCTGAACCCATCACTACAGCCACTGTGTCAATCCATCTCATTGAGGGCCTTCCCCTTTTTTGTTGGCTTTCCACTTTACTGGGGAATGGTACTTTTTTTATCTTCTCTAGGGAATGGTTCCTTCTGACAACGTGACCAAAATAGGTCACATGAAGTCTGGCCATTCTTGCTCCCAAGGAGCATTCTGACTGCCCTTCATCCAGGACAGTTTTGTTTGGCAGTCCATGGTACTTTCAGTATTCTTCACCAACAGCAAAACTCAAAAGCATCAACTCTTCTTTGGTCTTCCTTATTCACTGTCCAGCTTTCACATACATATGAGGTGACTGAAAATACCTCATATGGGTGGGTATTTTCATATGGGTTAGGCGCACCTTAGTCTTCAAGGAGACATCTTTGCTCTTCAGCACTTTAAGAGGTCTTTCGCAGCAGATTTGCCCAGTGAAATATGTTGTCTGATGTTTTGACTACTGCTTTCATTGGTGTTGACTGTGGAACCAAGTAATATGAAATCTTTGACAACTTCACTCTTTTCTCCATTTATTGTGATGCTGCTTATTGGTCCAGTTGTGAAGATTTTCATTTTCTTTGTGTTGCAATGTAATCCATATCACAGACTGATGTCTACAGACTGATGTCTTTAATCTTCATCAGTAAGTGCTTCAAATCATCCTCACATCAAGCAAAGGTGTGTCATCTGCATATTGCAGGTTGTTATTGAGTCTTCCTCCAATCCTTGATGTCACAATCTTCTTCATATAGGCCAGCTTCTTGAATTCTTTGCTCACCATACAGATTGAATGTTCTTGTTGTGTGCTGTCGAGTCAGACCCAACTCATAGCAACCCCTCATTGGGTTTCCAAAGCAGTATCACTACAGCAGTAGATTGCCCAACCTCCTTCCGAGGAGTGGCTGGTGGGTTCAAACCACCAGCCTTCTGGTGCCTTAGGCACTATGCTACCAGAGCTCCCACAGATTGAATAAGTATGGTGAAAGGATACAACCCTGACACACT